GTATATATCATACAAGCTTCTTTATATACTGATTTCCTAGTTATTCACCAATTTGTAAACATCAAAATGAAATTTAAAAGTAAGATAAATCATTACCTTGTAACATGAAGCAGCCTGAGTGGGCCGTGAACACTTTTCAAAGGCCTGAGCAGCATTAATGAAATTTTTCTTTATGGTACTATCATCAGAATTGTTTACAGAATCCCTTGCAATCTGCTGAATGTAATATGCATTGACTAGTTTGTAGCTCTCCTCGTTTCCGCTCTTTCGAAACAGAACATCGCCTAAAAAGAAAATCATTTATTTATTTATTTAATTTAGTAAATTTTAATTGCATTATACAAAGTAATTAAGAATCTATACCTGTTCATACTGTCGCTGTGCAGAAAAAAATTTTCCTTTGTTGATCCAATTCGTATGAAGTGCTCTTCTTGGCCAAAGTGGAAAAGGTATTAATTTCGTCTACACTTTCGATAACCTTGATTAGCCCATAGTTATCCCAGTACATGCGGATTGGCATGCTATACTCAGCATTTTCATCGCAAATCCAGATATGTTGGTCACGGCGACGTAAAGACGTTTAAGCTCAGAGGAAAGGATGCGTGAGAAAATGTCGGAAATCGGAAAGAATTTTATGTCTAAATGTTTGAGCAGAATTTCTGTCACTTATTTCTTTCCACCTGTATTTTTTAACAGAATCTTTGAAATTTTTCTTCATCAATCTTCAAATTAGGGTATATTTGTTTGCAATATCTATATGCCGTTTGTTTTCATTTGCTTTTGACCACTCACACATATTTGATGTTTATTTCATCACTTATTGCTGGTGGTTGAGTTACTCGCCACTAAAGTAGTATACATTAACTAAAAATTATATGATCTGTAAGTCGTTAAATAAAATTCATAACATCATTTAAACCTTTAGACGCGCAAGTAAATCTGTAAAGAAATTAACAGCACATCGCTAAATTCCATGCCCTGGCCTCGAACACTGTCATTACCAGTCCAGCTTTAGTCCTAGATATCAGTCAGATACGTAAATAAAAATAATTAACGCTAAATTTTCACCTGGTTGCAAAATTAAACTACGCTTCTAACCCGATCGACCAATTATGATCGCTGATGAAGGATTGTTGATGATCTCGTACTCTTTCTTGGATACTTGGAAAGTAAAATC